GGTTTTCTTGGTGTTTGTTCTGCTTGGTGTTCATTATACATGGGTTTATAGTTTCCATCAAATTTGGAAATATTTTAGCCATTATTTCTGCAAATACTTTTTCCTGTTTCTTCCTTTAACCCCTCCTTACTTCTCCTTCTTGACTTCCAATGACATGTATGCTAGACCGCTTATATTATCCCACAGATCATAATACTTTGTTCATATATTTTCAGTATTTTTTCTCTCTGTGCCTCACTTTGAATTTGAATTACTATGATTCCAGATTCACTGATTTTTTTTCTGCAGGAACTAATCTCACATACCATATTTTTCATTTTATATATTATATTTTTCATTTTATATATTATATTTTTCATTTTATATATTATATTTTTCATCTCTAGAAGTTGCATTTGGATCCATTTTGTATCTTCCATTTCTATCTTAGGTTTTCCTCTACCTTTTTGAAAATATGGAGTGTATTTATGGAAGCTGTTTTAATATCTTTGTCTTCTCATTCCATCATGTCTGTCATTTCTGAGACTGCTTCTATTGATTGACTTTTCTCTTGCTTATGGATATTTTCCCACTTCTTTGCATACCTGGCAATTTTTTTTTTTATTAGATGCCTGACATTGTGAATTTTATCCCTCCAGTGCTAGATTTTGTTGAATTTCCTCAGTTGATTTTGGATTGTGTTCTGGTGTAATCACATCACTTAGAATCAGTTTGTTCTTTTCAAAGCCTCCTTTGAAGCCAGAGCAGCCTTTAATTTAGTCTAGGGTTAATTCAGCCTTACTACTAAGAAAATAGCTTTCTGAGCTGTCCCTGATGCCTTATGAGATCCTTCTACTCCAGCTGCTGTAGAGCACAAACTATTCCCATCTCCATGGGAGCTCTAGGAATTGTCTGATTTACAGCTTCGTGGTGATCCTTTCCATGGCCTCAGTAGTTTCCTCTTACAAATGCGCAGATCACTCGGGGCGCCTGGGTGGCTCAGTCAGTTAAGTGACTGCCTTCAGCGTGGGTCATGATCCCGGGGTCCTGGGATCGAGCCCCACATCGGGCTCCCAGCTCCGCGGGAGGCCTGCTTCTCCTTCCCCCACTCCCCCTGCTTGTGTCCCCTCCCTCGCTGTGTCTCTCTCTGTCAAATAAATAAATAAAAATCTTTAAAACAAAAACAAATGTGCAGATCAGTCAACCAAACACTTAAGGGGGTCTCTCTGTAAATATACAGAGCTCTCTCTTTGTGAAGTTCCCTCCCCTCCTTTACTCAGCCCCACAAGTTCTATCTGCATTGACCTCTCCGAGGGAACTCCAATTTATATTTACAGCCTGAAGTGTTAGTTCCTTTTCCCTGCACTCAGTCCATCCAGGCAGTATACTGAGTCAATTGTAAAACTCACCTCATTTGTTTTTCTTCTCTCAGGGATCACAGGTCTATTCTACCTGCTGTCCACATTCCAAAAACTGTTATATATTTTGTCCAGAGTTCTAGCTGCTTAAGGCTGGAGGGTAAATCCAGGCCCTATTATACTCTATCATGTCTGGAAGCAAAGTCAGCTCCCATCTTTCTTTCTTTCTTTTTTTAAGATTTTATTTACTTATTTGAGAGAGAGAGAGAACGTGCGAGAGAGCACAAGTTGGGGTGGGGCGCAAAGGAAGAGGGCCAAGCAGACTTTCATGTGGGGCTCGATCCCAGAACCCCGGGATCATAAGCTGAGCAGAAGGCAGGTTAACCAAATGAGCCATCCGGGCACCCCAAAGTCAGCTCATTTCAATCAAAAACAGAAATCAGACAGAAGTCACCTCTTTTATTTAATTTATGGCAATTGTTATTAGCACAATAGAAAAAAATATCAAGGTGACACTGTTATGTATTTAGCAAATTCAAACAAACTACCTATACTGTGCCAAGATTATTCCTGGTCTTGCAAGTCTCAATGTGGTTCTTTGAGAGTTGTAGTTAAGAATAAAATGTTCCAGGAGCGCCTGAATGGCTCAGTCATTAAGCGTCTGCCTTTGGCTCAGGTCATGATCCCAGGGTCCTGGGATGGAGCCCTGCATCGGGCTCCCTGCTCCAAGGGAAGCCTGCTTCTCCCTCTCCCACTCCCCCTGCTTGTGTTCCCTCTCTCGCTGTGTCTCTCTCTGT